ATCGCGCCGTGAGAGAAGACGGAGAGTCTGTCTCGGCATTTGTGGCTCGTTTGCGTCGGTTGGCCAAGCCCTGTCATTTTCTGAGTGAAACACTGGAGGAAATGCTGAGGGACAGATTTGTGTGCGGCCTTCAAAATGCACATATTCAAGCCAAGCTGCTGAAGGAGCAACATCTCTCTCTGGCGTCGGCTATTGACATCGCCCAACTCAGCGAGGCGGCGGACGCAGACGCTTCGCTGTTGAGCGGAGCGGTCGCGGCGGATGACGTCATCCACGCGGTCAGCTGGCACGGTGCCAGGAGGGGCGGCGCTGGAGGTCGAGGCGGCGGCCGCGGCCGCGGTCGCGGTGGCTGGATCAGCAGCGGCCAGCAGCGGAATCTGCAGCAGCCCAGTCCCAGGACGGGTGGCGAGGCTGCAATCTTCACTGGATCTTCACCAGGACGGGTACGAGGCGGTGGCGACAGCGGACGGCGTCGGGGTGTCGCGCTCCGCCAGCCGCAGTGCCCGTACTGTCTGCGACAGCAGCACGCGGAGACGGAGGACTGTCCGGCGCGGCGGCTGCGCTGCTATCGGTGCCACGCTGTGGGGCACGTGCGAGCCGCCTGTCGTGCCGGCTGGTCTCCGCGGGTGTATCATCTCGACGACGATGGTCTGGAGGCATTCCGAGACGGCGGCGGGCCCGGACCGTGGACTGAGAACCACGGCTCCGGGGTGATGGACACGCGCCAGTCGTCGGGAGCGGCCGCTGCCGGGGAGTGCCGCGCAGCTGCCGAGGAATCGGGTCCTGCTTACTTGGAAGGTACGGTCTCAGGTGACGTGTCTGGTGGTGAGCCTGGGGAAGTAAGGCAGGGGCCGGACGATGATGTGTATTTTCTGTTCAAATCTCGTGAGATTGGTGGGACCGAGCGAAAACCACCATTGTGTGTTGATGTGTTTGTGGATGGGAAACCGGTACGAATGGAGGTAGACACTGGGGCAGCGCTATCGGTTTGTTCAGAGCAGGGGTACCGAAAGATTTGGCCTAAAGGGGGACCGGTGATTCAGCCATGTACCAAAGTGCTGAAAACGTACAGTGGCGAGATATTGCCGAGCGTGGGACAGGTGCAGGTACAGGTCAGATATGAGGGTCAGGCTGCTGATTTGTCTCTGATTATCCTGGAGGGATCAGGTCCGTTTTTGTTGGGAAGGGACTGGCTGGCCAAGCTCCGACTAGACTGGCCAGCTATTTGTCGGCTGTCTACCGAAGCGTCGATTGAGGGTCTCGTGGCTGAGTTTGATGATGTTTTCAGCCCACAACTAGGACGCTACGCGGGCGATCCGGTGAGCATTGAGGTGGATGCCGGAGTTCAGCCGCGCTTTTTCAAGGCTCGCCCGGTGCCCCTGGCGTACCGGGAGCAGGTGGAGCACCAGTTGCAGGCCGAGATCGATCGGGGCTTGTGGGAGCCCGTGAAATCGAGTAAGTGGGCGGCACCGCTAGTGCTAGTGCCGAAATCTGACGGGTCAGTGAGGATTTGTGGGGACTACCGCCTGACCATTAATAAAGCGGCTCCGGTGGAGCAGTATCCTTTACCGCGTTTTGAAGAGCTCTCAGCAAAGCTCCAGGGGAGTACGGTGTACTCAAAGGTTGATCTCAAATCGGCCTATAATCAGCTCCCTCTAGACGAAAAATCGCGAGAATATCTTACCGTCAACACTCTAAAAGGCTTACTGAAGCCCACGAGACTCGGGTTTGGGTATTCATCCGCACCAGCACTTTTCCAAAGAACGATGGAGGTGCTCTTAGCGGGCATCCCAGGGACATGCGTCTTTCTGGATGATGTCGTAGTCTCGGGTAAGACGCTGCAGGAGCATAATGTCGCACTGCGAGCGGTGTTGACGCGTATCCGTGAGGCCGGACTGCGGCTTAACAAGGACAAGTGCGTTTTCGGAGCTCACAGGGTGGTGTACCTGGGTCATCAGATCAGTGGTGAGGGTGTCGAACCGACAGATGACAAAGTGGAGGCGATCACAGCGGCCCCGGAGCCGGAAAATGTGTCCCAGCTGCGCTGCTGGCTGGGACTGGTTAACTTCTACGGGAAGTTTCTGCGTGGTCTGGCCACTACGCTGTCACCACTGTACGCTCTTTTGCGAAAGGATGCTGTTTGGAAATGGGCGGACGCGGAAAAGGAGGCATTTCAGGATGCCAAGCGCCTGTTACGGAACCCTCCCGTTCTGGCACACTTTGATCCTCAGTTACCGATCACGCTGGCATGTGACGCCAGTCCGGTGGGGATCGGTTGTGTCCTCAGTCAAAAGACGCCGTCCGGCGAGCGCCCAGTAGCGTATTATTCGCGCACGCTCAATGAGACGGAGCGGCGTTACTCGCAAACTGACAGAGAGGGCTTAGCGGTGGTGGCAGGGGTCAAACATTTTCACTTTTATTTAGCTGGCAAGACGTTCGTTATCCAAACGGATCATAAGCCCCTGCTGGGTTTAATTGGCGAGATGAAACCCCTCCCGCTTATGGCTTCGCCGAGAGTGATCCGTTGGGCGATTATGTTAGGGTCATATGACTATCATCTGGAGTATATACCGGGCGCGAGACAGGTTCATTGTGACGCTCTGAGCCGTTTGCCGGTGCCGGGGGACGTGACGTCAGTGAGTCCCGTGCCGGCGGAGACCATTCATTTGCTGGAATTTCTGGATGATTCGCCGGTTTCTGTGGCTCAGATCCGCAGTTGGACAGAGCGAGACCCAGTGCTCTCGGCGGTTTTACACTTTGTTAGAGATGGGTGGCCACAGCAGTCGGCGCCGCTGGGCCCCGAGTTCCAGCCGTTCAAAAGTCGGGCGGCAGAGCTCAGTGTGCAGGATGGGTGCATCTTGTGGGGCTCCCGAGTCATCGTTCCGACTCAGGGGAGGAAACGGGTACTAGCCATGTTACATGAGGGGCATCACGGTGAGTCACGCACAAAAGCTTTTGCGCGCATGTACGTATGGTGGCCCAATTTGGATGAACATATTGTCGCGATGACGAACCAGTGTGACACATGTCAGATGTATCGTGCCAATGTGCCGGACACGCCTGTCCATCCCTGGGCGTGGCCGTCTCGTCCGTGGGAGCGCATACACTTGGATTACTGTGGACCGATGTCGGGCTGGATGTTTTTAGTCATTGTGGATGCGCACTCAAAGTGGGTTGACGTGTACCCGTCGCGCAGCACGAGCACATCCGCAACATTGGAGCACCTACGCCAGTCATTTGCTTGTTGGGGGATGCCACACACGATAGTGACGGACAACGCACAGTGTTTCCTGTCGGAGGAATTCAAAGCGTTCTGTAAGCGGAACGGCGTGGTACATTTAACGACGCCTGCGAGGTCGCCTAAATCGAATGGCTTAGCTGAAAAGTGTGTGGGAACTTTTAAACTCAGTTTCAAGAAGCAGCAGTCAGGATCTGTGCACACAAAAGTTTCGAGATTTTTGTTTCATTACCGAGCTACTCCCCATACCACGACTCGCGCTACACCGGCGGAGTTGTTTTTGGGGCGGCGTATGCGAACACCGCTGAACGCTCTAGTGCCTGATTTAGGTGCGACAGTGCGGCAGACTCAAGCGAAACAGAAATTGTATCGCGATCGGCACACGGTTGGTCGTCAGGTGGCCGTGGGCGATGCTGTGTTTGTGTCTGCAGTGGACCAGCTCAGCGGTGGCGGGGGGAGGACGTGGCTGCCCGGTGTCCTGGTGGGGAGAGAGGGTGTGAAACTGTCAGTGCGACTCAGAGATGGGCGTGTGATCCATAGACACCTCGACCGTGTGCGGACGTCTGGCCAAAATGTTTGCAATGCTGCCCATCGCAATGTCAGCATTCCCAGTGTTGGATATCCTCCCTCATGTGGGCGTGAGCCGTCCTCACGGGCCGCTGAGACGTCGCCCTCGGCGACGGAGGCCGAGGGAGACGGCCCGGGGGACGGGGGACGTTACGCTTTGCGAGACCGTGCGCGGCTCCGTCCGCCTGAGAGACTGTCATATGTGTAAAGTGTTAGTGGCGACTGTTCAAAAGTGTCATGTTTTGTCCTGAGGTGGAGGGATGTAGTAGATTGCCCCACCCCTGGCTGCGCCAGTGGCTCATGTGCCGCTGTACCTGGCGCCGCCCCTGACTCGGCCCGCGGCGCACGGCCTGAGCCGAGGCCGCGGTTCAATAAACCAGTACAGAACGGACCGCCGTGGTGTAACACTGACCTTAACAGTTAGGAGGTTAAACTTGCAATGACACTTCAATTTAATTTTATAACAAAAAATAAAGGCCTTATCAATTGCCTACGACACCCTGTTAATATCATTTCGATACCAGAAAAAGAACCAGAGTTATAGACATTTAAAAGTTAATGTGTAGCATTTTTGATTAATGATTAATGACCTTACCCTCGTAGTTTGAAAAAGTTAGATCAAAACACTTGTTTATTAATAATTTCGAGCACAGCTCTTCATCAGAATACAAAGCTAAAAAGCATTTTTAGCTTTGTATTCTGATGAAGAGCTGTGCTCGAAATTATTAATAAACAAGTGTTTTGATCTAACTTTTTCAAACTACGAGGGTAAGGTCATTAATCATTTATCAAAATGCTTTAATATGATCCTCGCACAAGCACTGAGAAACTTAAAGAACATTGTAGCATTTTTGGCTATATTCGATGACCTATATATCTCAGTGATACGTCATCAAGTTTCGAAAACATTAGACGTAACTCAGTTTTGAACTATGCCCTGTCAGCCTACAAATTTTCAGAAAAATCAGAGGGGATGACGGATTTCGGTGTTTGATTTGACGTGAAATGCCCCATGCACATGTCTGACCTTGTGTAATGTGTATAGGTAATGCCTCACCATTCATAAATCAATGACAATCACTTTGAGAAGTAAAGAGGCCCAAAAATTCTAGAGATGAGCCCTGCGATTAAATTTTGCACATCAATCCACAAATACCTTTGGCCGCCACAGCCCTACAGTTGCAGCACAGCGTACCTGCTGGGCGACAGCGGCGTGCAGTGACGGCACGATCACCTCTGTGACCTGCAGCGCGCTGACCAGTCTCTCCACGGCGCGCTCCTCAGTAGGCAGCGCTGCGTCCAGCTGCACCAGCGAGAGCTCCAGCAGCCGATCGGGAGGTGTGGCGGCGAAGCGCTCACAGAGGGCTGTCAGAGCGCGGACGGCGCCGCGCCGCTGCAGCTCCCGCTGCACCTACCAGCCAAGCGAGTGTCAGCGAATATACCACCAGCAGACTGGAACTGCTCACACCACAACGACAACACACTCTACCTCTCCACATCATAATAACAGCCATTGGCGTCGCCAGAGATTTTCGGCTGGAGGGGGGGGAATCAATTTGGGGGGGGGGCGTTCGAAAGAGCGTCAAAAATAATGACGAAATCACTTCAGTCAATTTTTTGGTCAGGTCAAAGGTCAGGTCACCAGAGGTCATTGAAGGCAAAATTTCGCCAATTTCCAGGTCGAATGTCGACAATTTCCAAGAAGCCAACGCATAACTCAGGAACCAATAGAGCTACAGCGCCGCGGAAAAGCGCATTCAATAGCCCTATTAGCGCCCTTTCTGATTAATTCCCTCAGACTTGACCTAACGTCAACGGTTTTGCCTGCAGGGGGCAAAAACTGCAAAAATAGCCGATTTTTCGGAAACAGTTTTCTGCAATAACTTTTGATCCAAGCCTTGTACGAGCTTACTTTTACCGGCATCGTGTTCCTCTTGTCAAGACGCATCGAATGAACTATAATTTGACCTTGAAAGGTCAACTTGAAAATTTGACCTCAGGTCAAGGTCATGACCTGACCGGAAACGGTCATGTTGCATATCAGTCGATCCGTATCGTCGAGCTGAACACATCTAAGGCGTTTTCATCGCTCTAGCATGCCTCTATCAAAAGTTGTTTGCGAAAAACTGTTAGATACCATTCGTGACTAGTGATGTCAATTTCAGAAATTTTGGAAACCAATACCAAACCGATACCGACCAAAACCACTGAGAGTATACCAAAACCGAACCGATTTTCAGAAATAGGGAGAAATACCGACTAGATACCGAAATCAGGGAATTATCAAACAAATGCTTCAAACTTTGTCAAGACATATGATAGGTAAGCCTTGAAAGATACCTAATACTTTAAAATAAGGTAACAAAAACAAATCAGGCAATCTCTTAATTATTTGCATTGTAAAAAAACATTTATAACTGTATTTTGTAACTATTAACAAATATTCAGGTCAGTTATTTAGCTGGGATGTGGATTCAAGTCATCTGCATGAGGTGTTAAAACAATAACTTGAACCCTGAACTGAACCATCAAACGTTCTTTCATTTCAAGTCATTCAATTCCAGCCCGGTCAAGACAGGGTTAAGTGTGTTATCATGATCCAAAAGTGGTGACCCAATTGACAATGATGGGCTACACCATTAATGTAAACAAAACCCAAAATACCTACAGTTCAACCACGGTTCAACCCAAGTAGCATGGCGATTGGTGACGATACTGACGCAGCCAATTTTTCTTCACAAACAAATATTTAACACAACAAAACTTGATAAAATAATTACCTACGAGGCACACTGATAGATAGCAGACACCACTGTACTAATATCGCGATGAAAGCTAAGTAAAATGTCCATAATTTTACGGAAGCATCGACACATGTCACGTGTCATCTCTTCCACTATGGCGGCGGCCATTTGCATTTAGGCGTGATTTAGGCACATAACTGTATAGAATAAAGTTTTTCTTTTCTTTTTTGCTTTAGTCCACTTAAGTCAAAATTCCTTGCATATATTTTGACATCTTAAAATTAATTCAAGAAAGATTGTAGGGCGCTTTTGCCGAAAAATGAAGAACCCGAAAAACAAAGTTGTTCAGTCATTTTCAATTAGCTATTGAGCACATCGGTACTTGGCGCAGCTGCGACACTGAAATGTTTTTAGATGTGTTCAGTTTGGAAACTGCTGTGTGCGAATCAAGCCAAAAACCAATTATATTTTAGGAATGCTTTTGATTACATTGCTAGCAATCTATAGGTATCTGTTGAGGAGAGCAGGAAAGAGAATACTAATTAAAGAAAATTAATTATCTACAGGATCATGACAGGATCGCTCGAAACCTAGATGTTGGTGGCGTTGCGCCGTACGCGTCATACCGTTCGGAAACTCCTGTAGTCAGCGGGAATCGAACTCGGGTTCCCCGGTGATATTCCACGGTTCTAACCACTCCTCTATCGAGGCAGACATCGTTATGGAGCTGGGAACTTGGTTTCATTTATCCCCCAGATGTTTTTGTGATTTCCTTAGTAGTGGGAGCCATATTGGGCTGACGTCAACGCTTGGCTTGCTGATGGGGTTGCTGGCCAGCGCCATGTGTGCGGCTTCCTTGATCTTTTTGATTTTCCAGTGTGGCTCCTTGTCGATGATGGTGGCATCATCCCAAGCAGGTCTGTGATCTCCTTCAGACCATGCATGCTCCGCCACACCGGATTTCAGTGTTTCGCCTCGGAGGGTGGCCTTCCTGTGTTCTTCGAGCCTGACCGCCAGTGGGCGGCCAGTCTCGCCCTTGTATGACCTGCCGCAGCTGCACGGGATATCGTATATGCAGTTCTTTGTTTGCTCCTTGGTGGTTGGCGGTCTGACCTTTGTGAGTGACCTGCGGAGGGTGGTGGTGCTTTTGAACACCGTCCTGATGGTGTATGTTCCGCAGATCCGCAGATTGGGCCAGGAGGAGAAGGAGCCCTCCTGTAAATGGGCATACATGAGCCCGTTGGAGGGAGGCCTGAATAAAAATAAAAAAAAATAAAAAAATTCGCTTTAGCTTCTCTGATAGTCCTCTGTTGTATGGGAGGGATACTGTCGCGATGGGCTTATCACTTGGTTGTTGTTGGGATGCTTCCCTGGGTTTGTGTTTCATGAAGCTCGTTGGGTATCCGTTTCTTCTGAAGGTGCTGGTAAGGCGTGACATTTCCATCTTTCTGGCTGCTTCGTCTCCACAGATGTTGGTGGCTCGGGTCTGCAGGCATCTGACGATACCTTTCTTGACTGTGTCTGGGTGGTGTGACTTGAAGTTGAGGTAGCGGTCGGTCGCTGTTGGTTTGCGGTAGACCGATGTTCTGAATGCTTCCTCAGATTTCTCCACTTGGACGTCAAGGAATGAAAGTTTGTTGTCGACTTCTGTTTCCATTGTGAATTAGATGGAGGGTCGGAGGCTGTTGAGGTGGTCTAGGAACGGTATTATGTCCTCGCGATGGTCCCACAGGACGAATGTGTCGTCGACATATCGCATGCCAGTCTCCCAACCAGACCAGACCAGTTCTACAGCCAGCTGAATGGCAGGGGCTGCATGCGCAGCAGCAGCTGGCACAACCGCAGTGGCTAGAGCGAACCCAGCCCTGGCAGGCTCCTCCCGTGCCTGCCTGCCCGTATCAGTGCCAGACTCGGCACGGGCTTCTTCCAACACCACCGCCGCCGCCGCCGCCGCCCCCGCCGCCGCCGCCGCCTCCACCACCACCACCACCACCACCACCACCACCACCACCAACTCCGCAACAGCCGCAAATGCAGGGGCTTCAGCTGCAGCAGCAACGACAGACCAGCGGCGGTTTTTCGTGGCAGCACCATGATCAGTGTCAGCCAGACCTCTTTCGACCTCTTTCGTCAGCCAGACCTCTTTCGAGCAATCTGGAGACTCACGATTGCTGGGGGTACAGGTGAACGCTGGCGTTAGGCCACTTTTAATCATTATTGGTTGCTATATGCCTTATTTTTGTGGGTCTTTCGAGCAACTAGATAAGTATCGTGATACATGTGCGAGCCTGCAGGTTTTAATGTGCGCTTATCGAGCTGTTACGCACCTCGTGCTGGTAGGTGATTTTAATTGCCCTCTCCCTCGGCTGCCACTGTCCCAGCGGCCGGCAAGTTGGACCCAGCTTCGCGGCTTCAATGCCTTCAGTCTGGAAATGCAGCGGCTGCTTGATCTCTAGGATCTAATCGTTGCCGAATTCTGTTTTGAGCAGTCTGAGACTTTCACCTATCAGCGAGGAGGACATCAAACCCACATAGATCACATTGCTGTGCCCCACTCATTTGTCGGCAGCAAACTCCTATCGTGCAAAATATTTCTCCGTGTTCTGATAACCTCAGTCCTCATCTGCCAATGTGCTGTGTACTGTCTCTCCCAGTTGGCCACACACTTTTTGCACCCAAAGCTCGAGATGATTACTCCCGCCACCGTGTAGTGTTAGACTGGAGCAGCGATGAAAGGAATGATGCTTACTGCAGACGCCTCGCGGATCTGCTGTCAGCGCGTATCCCTCACTGCTCCACGGCAAATGAACTTGACAGACAGCTGACAGCTTCCATTCATGAGGCTACTGCCGATGTTGGATGCTCTAGAGGCTGGAAGCCACCTAAGTCCTGGTGGACTCCTGCGGCATCAGCCGCCCGTGACAGGGCCCGATTCTGGCACTGCCTGTGGACTGAAGCTAATCAACCGCGGAATACCGTGTTGCATGATTGTTTCCGAGCAGCACGTCGAGCATATAGACGAGCGCGTTCAGAGGCGGCGCGCTCCAAGGCTGACACTGGTGCCCGCATTCTGTCGGCGCTACGTCGTGATCGAAAGATCAGGGCATTCTGGCGGCGCGTGGAAATCGCACGCCGTGGTTCAGCTAGCCCGCGCTCCACGCTCACAGCGATGGACTTCAGAGACCATTTCGGTCTTATTCACACCGACGATGAGACACTCTCATCAGAGCAGGAGGGAGTGCATAGGCGAGTTCTGGCTTTAATGGATGAAGCACGAGCTTACCCGGGTCCCGGTAAGCGAATTTCTGCCGAGGAAGTCGCGCGTCTGCTACCACAGTTGAATCGTGACGCGTCTCCTGGCCCCGACGGAGTCTCGGCAGAACACCTCCTGAACGGGTCCTCTCCAGTCCTCCTGCAGGCTCTCAGCATCCTTCTAACCGCATGCCTAAACGAAATGTGTGTGCCAGATAGTTTTACGAAAAGCACAGTTGTGCCGCTGATAAAGAAAAATGACCTTGACCCCAACTGCGCGGACAGCTACCGACCAATCTCTCTCGTATGCACAGTTTCTAAACTACTAGAGTTGATTTTGCTCGAAGAGTTAGGCACCAAATTCCGCCCGTCTGAGCTTCAGTTCGGTTTCCTATCTAGGCGCGGCACAAGAGAGGC